TGATGCTATGCTAACATTTACCTCTGTCTCCTGAGTAAACTGATTAATTAGGGGCCACTTTTGGCTAATTAATGACTCCCACAAAATTCGTTATGGTCCATGTTTTAGCAGAATTTAAACCTTTTTTTTTTTTTTTTCAATCAATGCTTCATTTTTAATGTAATGTATTTAAGTTGGGGACAAAATATATTTTTTTGGCTCAATTACATAAGAGTGTTCTACGAATAAATGTGATTTGGGCACTTGAAGTATTCGATGTATAAGCGGCTTGCAGGTGGTTTCTGATGAAGCGAGAGCAATGTACAATGGAGGGGCGGCCGGTCTATCATTTTGGAGCCCAAACGTGAACATATTCAGAGATCCGAGATGGGGGAGGGGCCAGGAAACCCCCGGTGAGGACCCCATTGTGGCTTCTAGGTACGCCACCAGTTACGTGAGGGGACTTCAGAGCCCGGTTGGGAATAGCTTGAAGGTTGCTGCTTGTTGCAAACACTACACTGCTTATGACCTGGATCAGTGGAATGATGTGGACCGCTTCCATTTCAATGCCAGGGTAAGAATTGTTGTGGATTGATTACTTTAAATGATTGCAAATTTTAATTTTATTTTAGTTGCCCACCACACCACAAATATATAGTAACATTACCAACAAAAAAAAAAAAAAATTAGAAAAATGCTACAACTTTTTTATGCAGGGAAATTTCATTCTTATAAATCCATAGCCTTACCCAATGGCTTGATAATGCCAATAAGCCACAAGTAATTGCCATCTAAATCAGTTGTACATCGTGCATTTAAGGGGTTTCTTGACGAGTACAGGTAAACAAACAAGACCTGGAGGACACTTACAACGTGCCCTTCAAAGCTTGCGTGGTGGAGGGCAGGGTGGCCAGTGTAATGTGCTCGTACAATCAGGTCAATGGAAAGCCCACCTGTGCTGATCCCAGCCTGCTTCGTGGAACCGTCCGCGGGCAGTGGCGGCTGGATGGGTATCTGTCTCTAATAATTAACTTTCTGATGATGATGCTCCTCGTGGTCATGGAGATGCCACTAATCCAATCTCATAATCTCATGCAGCTATATTGTCTCGGATTGTGATTCCGTCGACACTTTCTTTAATCAACAACATTTCACCCCCACTCCAGAAGATGCAGTTGCAGCTACCATTAGAGCAGGTCACTTAAATTTGAGATATATTATCGCATTTATATTCCATTTACTTTATGTATACTTGGTACTTTTGAAACAAGTTAACAAAAAATTTAGGCCTTATTAAAAAAAATTTTTTTTTTTTTTTTACATTTTCAATCATTCTTTTATCTCACCTCACGTGCATTACATTCTACAGAACGTGTAATTTTTCTACAAAAACTCCTCAAAAAATGCAGATAAAGTATTTTATAGTCCAATAAATCTTCATTACAGCTGGCATTGTGTGCAATATAAAGTCGATCCAAATGAGAATATAATTCAAATTTATATGGATGGTAGCTAATTAGGTTGGTATGAATGATTAACATTGTAGGATTGGATTTGGACTGTGGGCCCTTTCTTGCAATTTTCACTGAGAGGGCCATTCGTGCCGGCAAAGTATCCGTGGCTCTTGTTGATGGGGCCTTAACAAACACATTACATGTGCAAATGCGCTTGGGCATGTTCGATGGAGCTAGACAGCCTTACCTGAACTTGGGTCCAAAAGATGTCTGCACACCCGCCCATAAACAACTAGCCCTTGAAGCTGCCCATCAAGGAATTGTTCTTCTCCAAAACAGGGCCAGGTCTTTGCCTCTGTCTACACACCTTCACCACACTGTTGCCGTGATTGGGCCCAATTCTGATGCAACCGAAACCATGATAGGCAACTATGCTGGTGAGTAAAAATTTTCTCAATCCCAACACTACTACTGCGGTTTTCTTTCTGTTGTCATTTCTTTTTTTTAAGGGAAAATGGCTACAGCTGATTATCAGTATGTGGAGTAAATGCCAGTATTGGGCGAGAAAAAAATTTTTTAAAAAAAAAAACAAAGAAAAGAAAAGAAGCTTGTTTTAAAACGCCAAAATAAGAACAATATTCAAGATATATATAGTTTTTAGTCCAAAAAAAATTACGATTTCCAAGGCAAAAAATAATTGTTTTCATGAACTCTGGTGAAGTATAAACCGGATCGATCTTTACCATTCATATACTCAAAACAAACATTTGATTCATGGTGCAGGGATACCATGTGGTTACATTAGCCCTTTGCAAGGCATAGGAAGATATGCTAGGACAATTCATCAAGCAGGGTGCAATGGTGTTGCTTGCATCAGTAACCGGCAATTTGGTGCAGCTGAGGCTGCTGCCCGGCAGGCAGATGCAACTGTCCTAGTGATGGGGATAGATCAATCGATTGAAGCCGAAGCCAAGGATCGATTAAGCCTCCTTTTGCCTGGACTACAGCAGGAACTTGTCTCCAGGGTGGCAAGAGCTTCAAGAGGACCTGTAATTTTAGTCTTGATGTGTGGCAGTCCTGTGGATGTCACATTTGCCAAGAATGATCCACGCATTGCAGCCATCTTGTGGGCCGGCTACCCAGGTCAAGCTGGAGGTGCTGCCATTGCTGATATAATTTTTGGAACAACCAATCCAGGTACATAAAGATTTAACGTATTCAAGAAACGGTGTTCATTTTCTGAATTTTATTTTCTTATAGAAGAATCTCCAGAATGATACGAGCGAGAAAGTTGCGTTGTTGAATTTCAGGAGCAAAGCTTCCCATGACATGGTATCCACAGGACTATGTAGTTAAAGTGCCAATGACAGATATGGGTATGAGGCCGGATCCATCAAGAGGCTATCCGGGACGAACTTACAGATTTTACAAAGGACCAGTTGTGTTTCCATTTGGTTTTGGTCTGAGTTATACAGCTTTTAAGGTAGCGTTAGCCCATGCTCCAACCACCGTTCCAGTGACTCTAGCAAGCAATTATGCATTTAAAAATGTGACATTGTTGAAGGATGCAGTCAGAGTTTCTCACAGCAACTGTGATGCTATGAAGTTAGGCATGCATTTTGACGTACAAAATGTAGGAGAAAGGGATGGGAGTCATTCTCTTTTAGTATTTTCAACACCTCCAGCCGGTAAATGGGCTCCTGCAAAGCAATTGGTTGCATTCGAGAAAGTCCATGTCTTGGCTGGGGCTCAACAGAGGATTAGCGTTCATTTTGACGCTTGCAAGCACCTCAGTGTTGTGGACCGATTTGGAATTCGAAGAATTCCGATGGGTGTGCACAGTCTTCAAATTGGAGATCTCGAGCACGCCATAACACTCCAAGCTGCTGTAGAAGAGATAAAGTCTTAAAGCTGGTTAATTATTGGGGTCGAGTTTGAAGTTAGAAGTAATAGTTGTGTGTTCCTTGGTACAATTCTGGATTTCAACCCTATGAAACAACAGCAATTGTGAATGTGACATGGTTCATAGGGATTATATATATTGAAAGAAAGGAAATTTGGTTAGTCGTGAATGAATACGACCAGATCAAGTGTAGAAAAAGGTTGTAATGCATCTTAGATTGGCAAGTGTAGAAAGAACTCGATGATGTACTTCTTACACATGAAATAATTGCAGAATTGAAAGTTTGGTGTGGTGTTCGTTGCAGAGTTGAAATACTGCTGCCATAAGCTTTGTGCAATCTCCTAGCCTGCTCCCAAGTGCCGAGGAACGTCCCCACTATCTGTCATTCATATTCGGTCGCAAGACTGGTAACTCACAAATCTTTTGACTGAAAATCACTTGACTAAATATTCGGCTTGTGAATTAAGTTCCCCAGTTTTTTATGAATCAAAAACATATAGTACTGCGTCAGACATAATCAGTTCCAAGAATATCCATCAGGAGAAAAACATGAAAAAAAATCTTAATCTTAGCGGGTGCATCTCATGAGCGAGCCCCCTGCCATCTACTGGTCATTGACCATCTCGTGCTAACAAATGTCATTGCATGCACACGAATAATAATATAATGGAATCGGAGCACCCTTCTGATCTAGTAAGTGTTTATACCCACTAACCCTTTATACACAGTGTCTTTAGACTCTCCTATCCTCTGGAGCAGGATAGATTAGGTTATATAAATGTTATCGTTGCAGTAAAATAAAAAAAAAAAATAGTATAATGGAACCAAATTCTTGCAAAAACAAAAGAGATGCAAAAGAATTTGAGAAGCTAACAAAAGAACACGTGAATAATGCAAATGCAAAGGAGGTGTCGGTGTTGAGGATGGTTAGGACGATATTATTCAGTGTGCCTTTTATAATCAATGGTCCCAATTGACATTGATATCTTAACAGCATTAACCAGAAGCGAAATGCAATCAATCTAAACTAGAGCCCCTTTTAGCTGCTCTCTCTTCTCCACCACTCCACCCCTACTCTTTCTCTACCTCTCTTTTTAGGTTTATTTGCCCCCAGAATCCAACCTTATCATCCCATCTCTATTCATTCACCGACAAGAAAGCCAAAACAGGGAGTATTATTTTGTTGAACATTTCCTTTAATACTGTAACAATTTCAGCACATAAATTTGTTACTGCATTGAAAAGCTTGCAAAAAAATCGCAGATGCTTGATAATCAATCTAATAGGTTAAACAGAAAATACTAGTGTGTTTCAAGTAATCTGCCCAAGAAAAAAAAATTAAAAAAATATATATATATATATGGGAGCGACTACCAATGGTGGAGCCTGTCTATATAAAATAAGCATAAAAACTAACCAAGAAGCCACACATATATAGCCAAAGATGCATAGACATAACTATTTGATGGGAGTAACATATTCTTATCTAACCGGGCTACTCAACCATCCCTTTCCCCTAACGTCTACCTTCCGCACTCTCTCTTTTCTCTCTTCCCTTTTCATCTTCTTCTCTCTCTCTCTCTCATCCTTTGCTTGCTTCGTCTAGTTTCCAGTTTCCCTCAACCTCAAGGTACGCATTCCTCTTATTCTCTCCTTCTTTCTTCTGGACTATAGCGCCTGGATTCTTCTGTTTTTCCACTATTCATCTTAATATATAGTGCTATATACATATATATATATATATAGATATGTATGGCTCAATGCTAAATCTATAACCTGTACATGGCACCATAAATATGCAATGCACATAGAGCCATTAACAGAGTATAGCCGGTGTTTCCCTCCCTGCTGATTTCCTCCTTCCTCCTCCACCACTTTTGCTGAGCAAAACTACACACACACGCAGTACACACACAAGTTTGTGAGTTCAGCTGGCATTTATTTGTGTGTGTGTGTGTGTTTCTCTTTTTAGTTTTTTTTTTTTTTTTTTGAATTTTTAATGATTGATGAGGAAATGGAAGTACCACTACTAAACAAATACTCACTAATGAACAAGGAATGAGTGATGTAACAGGAACCGGATTAGCAGATGGCAGGCGTTGGCAGAAGCGAGGAGCAACATCAGCACCGTACTGCCTCTGCCACCGAAAATCATGAGGTATTATTCATCTCTAGCTAAAACTCCTTTTGTCCTTATCTTTTTAACCTGAATTCGTCCTCATCCTCTTTCTCATTCTCCGTCAACCTATATACTTTTTTTTTTTTTTTTTGTAAATAAATTTTATAAAGAAAACAACAACAAAATAAAAAGGTGAATTCAGTAGATAGATCTACATTATGGGATGTTCAGAGTTCTGGTTCTCAACATAAATTTTTTTAATGAATTTGCTGCATTGGAAATTCATCTGCGCCATTGCTAATTATTGCTATTTAAAACCATTAATATTTGCTTATATTGGCATTGACACTTTTTTTTCTTTTTTTTTGAGCTTTTTCAAGTATTCTCGACCGGATTAACTGCCGTTGTAGCATTTCTAAAAGTGACATGGAGCCAGGACAAAAACGTAATGCATTGAGGAAAAAGTGTGAATAAGTTTGTGTTTTTATTACGCTTTTCTTTTATATATGTATATATATATATATGGACATAAGATTTCCTAGGATTTGTGGGGCAAATAATTCATGTGTCATGTATAGCTCGCTTGGTCCCTTTGAACGATATATCAGTCATGGCCTTGTGAGCTTTCATGTCCCCCACACAAAAAGCTATTTGTAACCACCAGCCGACCCATGAGCATAAATTAGAGACATCATCAACAAGCAAGATGATGCACTTTTGGGGAGTATAATCTTCTTCTTCTTCTTCTTCTTCGTTTTTTAGTCTTTGTTTTAACAATTGTCTGAAGTGAAGTATACCAGAATCCAACTTTGAACAATAATAATAATTTGTATGTACCTCATCGTGCATCAACACTAATAATAATTGTAAACAGTCCAACTTTGAACGGGCGGCATAATAATGAAACATGCGTAAAAGAATGAAAAGCTGAATCTTTGAATTTGAATTTGAATTTAGGAAACAAATAATAATTTGAATTCTTCGAGTTAGGCATGAAATTTGAGTAAGGGTGAAGGAAACGCCAACAACTGGAAATTATTAGTCAATCACTTTTTAAAATTGAGAGTTGTTGGCGGCATCCTCCTTTAAGGCTTTAACAAAAGACAAAGCGTTCGGCTTTGGACTACAGAACAAAAAGGCTAAGTCATTGACCGGTTGGCATCTTTCCTGGGAATATTCTTCACCATCGGTTTATCAGAAATCAATTATGCTTTCGCTTGCTAATTACTACTAGCTATATTTGTACAGCTTGGATCATCTTTTCATCCTAAGCTGCATACTTCGGAAATACTTGATTTGTCAGATCAGTCTAATCCATTTTGCTGTCTCCAGCGTCAAGTAGGAGGAGGAATAATTGAACTCTTGTTTCATTAATGTTTGAGTTTCAAGCTGAATAATCTTGTTTCTTTCTTGGAAGAAATTTCCAAGATCCCTTTTTCTCCAAGGACAAACTAGATGATTATTGTTCACATCTGCTGACTTCCTTTTCAATTCGGGGCAGGTGGCATCTCAAGACAAGAAATATGGGGGAATCGTGCCAAAGAAAAAGCCCTTAATATCCAAGGCAAAGTCATTTAAATCTACTTTGGCTTTTTTTTTTTTCTTTCTCTCTCTAATTAAGAAGAAATATATTTTTTTTATTAAAAAGGAAAAACATACTGACTGTTGTGAATGCAGGATCCCGAGCGAGCCTTCTTTGATTCAGCAGACTGGGCTTTGTGCAAGGTAGTACGACAGATTTTGCTACATGAAAAAATAAATTTTATTTACTTTAATTTAGATTTGCAGGGAATTTTTAAAAAATGAAACAAAATTATTGTTTTAATGGAAGGACTTCCTCTCCCCTTTCTTCCAAGGAGCGACCGAGTCCAATATCTTAGTTTCAATATAGTCTTTTTTTTTTTGCTTTTTTGAGCAAATACAACTTAATCGACTACGAATGACAAACAGCAAGGTGCAGGCGCATGTCATGAGAAATCAACAGTTGCTGTGGAGACATTGCGGCCAAAGCTACAGGTAATTGACAAATTAATTGAGAGCCCATTTACCATCTCATCTACAAAGTTAAAGTCATATTTTGTGAAAGAAAAATGACGTAGCAACAAGTAAATTGAATGTAAAAGTGTTAGCATATGAGAGAATTTTGGTGGTTCTTGATTTAATCAAGTTTTAATTGACAAATTGCAGAGAACGCCTCATCAGCAATTGCCTCCTAGGAGGCCAACTTGTACGTCTGGAAGTGGAAGGGATTCTTCATAAATCATAGCATAGCGGGTTAGGCTAAATCTGAAGTCCTTGGTCGATTACTACTACTATTTACTGCCACTGGTGGAGTAGATCTCCATAGAGAGTGCTAAAGCAGTGAGAGTCACCCCCCCACAAAAAAATAGGGTAGTGAGAGTCATCTCATCTCATCTCAACTCATCTATATGTAGTTCACACTTTATAACTGCCACCATGCATCGATTGGCGTACGTGTAGTTTGTACTATTGGTGGTTCAATAAGTTTTTCTTTCGTAAATTTTTTTCCTTTCAAGTTTTGTGCAAGGTTGATGATGAATAGGCTTGTTTTTGGTTTTTAAGATCCAACCAGGCTCATCACAATAGTTGAAGATCCAGACTTGGGAACTCTCTTGCTCATGGAAAGCAAGGAATTAAAAAGCAACTCACAATACCATGAACCACCAGTCAGCTGTAATATATACATGAAATACTTGGAAAACTTGAAATAACTGAAACTGAAACGCCTGTAGAGCTTGATCAAACAGTAAAGGAAGCAAGAACCAAAAAACAATCAAGTTCAGCATGCATTTCTTTATATGCATTTGACCACAGCCAAAATTAATGTAATTGTCACAAGCATGTGTATGCATGTTACGGACAAAGCTTCCCACATAAGTGGAAGTGGAAACCTTTTTTTCTTTATCCCCTCCCTCTCCGGTCCCCATTCCCTTCTATCCCAACCCTGGCAACTAGGGGCGCTACTCGAGTCGAGTTTAAGTATCACCATGCTTGAGTTTGAATTCGATCACTATCAATATTATTCGAGATTGACCTCGAGCTCGATCAAGTATATAAATTTGAGCTCGAATTTGACTTGACATAATGGAAATCAAACTCGAACTCGACTTGTTTGAGCTCGAGTAAATTGCAAGCCTTATCAAGTTCGGGCTTGAGTTTTCCTTTTCTTGTTTTTAATTTTTTACATTTTAGATTTATCCGATTACCATTTTGCCATCCATCACTTTTTTTTTACTGAACATTACTTCATGTAAATTTATTAAAATACGAACCTATAATAGTCATTTCATAATTAAAATATATAAAATATAAATAATACAAATACTCGATTAAGTTTGTTGAGTACTCGACTATTTACTTCTATGCTCAAACTCGACTCGACACACGTAATGAGCAACTTGAATTCGGTCAAACCAAATTCGGGCCAAGCTTTTGATCGAGCCGCTCGTAAGCTACTCACCAGCAGTCTAGCTCGATAGCACCCCTGCTGTCAACCAACTAGATTGAACGAGAGTTCAACTTTCTGACCAGTAGCTCCCACAACTAATGGTTAAGTGGAAACATAATTAGCACCAGCTTCACATCAAACATATGCAAACTATAATGAACGAATTAAAGGTTAGTAAAAATATCAAATATAATCATATTAAAATTGGAATTGTCCCATTTATTATATATACAAGTCGCCTTAACTTAATCAACAAAAAATCATTTTGCTACTTAAGCAACCAATAATTCAACTTCTTGTTATTTCACATAGTATATAATGTTTTGGTTTCTTAATTCAAATTCTTTTCTTTCCATCTCCTACCTTTTACTTTTATACAATATTTTGGACTATTGCCAGTACATTTTGATAGATAATCTCTACATATGCTCTTTAGATACCCAAACGTGCTCTTTCCACAATTTTTGCACAAATTACTAGGAATATGTCCAGTGTCCTTAAATAAACTGGCTTCTCTTGAACGGGAAGATTAAAAAAAAAAAAAAAGAGTAGAAAAGATAAAAGTAGCATCTTACTCCTGTGAGGCGGTCTCCATTCCATCAAATGGAAAACGTAAAGGCAGCTTTCCTCTAGAGGTACTGATGGAATGAGAGACTATGAGAAGGTTTTGTTCATTGGCTTCCAGGGCTTCACCTTTTGAGAAGGAACAACATTGCCAGACGAAACTAAGAGTTCAAAAGTCCGCAAAGGTCAAGTCTTTAACAACTCCGTTTGCTCGAAACCCTGCCGCCCCTTCAACAGGTAAAAATTTCAAAGATCCTAACTTGAATCCAATTTCAATTACTTCTGCTGCGGTTCCTAAACAAAACCCGAGATTGCATTCGAAGCCTATTGATCACCAGTACTTTACTCACATTCTGTCGAGAAAAGATTGGTATATATTGCTGAGACAAGAGTTTAAGGCCCGGAGAGTGAATTTGAACTGCCAGTCAATCATTAGTATTTTGCAAAATCAAGAAAACCCTTTACTCCCTCTGCGATTTTATATCTGGGTTTTGAGTATTAACCCTTCATTCGGCAAGAATCAGTCGATTCGGGGTGTTTTGAGTAATACCCTTTATAGGAAAGGTCCAGTTTTGTTGTCAGCTGAACTGGTTCAGGATATTAGAAATTCTGGTTCTGGAATTACTGAGGATTTGCTTTGTGTTCTGATTGGCAGCTGGGGGAGGTTAGGGCTAGCGAAGTATTGCGCTGAAGTTTATGAGCAGATATCATATTTGGGTCTCAGTCCTAGCACTAGGTTATACAATGCAGTCATTGACGCTTTAGTGAAGGCTAATTCACTTGACCTGGCTTACCTGAAGTTTCAGCAAATGCAGGTGGATAAATGTTTTCCTGATAGGTTTACGTATAATATTCTCATTCATGGAGTTTGTAAGGTTGGCTTAGTTGATGAGGCACTTCGTTTGTTGAAGCAAATGGAGGGAATGGGATTTGCACCCAATGTGTTTACATATACAATCCTAATTGATGGGTTTTGTACTGCTAAACGTGTAGATGAGGCATTTGCCTTTCTAGAAAAAATGAAGGAAAAGAATGTGACCCCAAATACTGCTACTTATAGGTCCTTAGTTAATGGATTGTTTAGATGTTTATCCCCATCTGAAGCCTTTAAGTTATTGTCAAGATGGGTGGACAGAGAGCTTAATTTGCCTAAAGTTGCTTGTGATGCGATGCTATGCTGCCTTTCTGATAGTTTTTTGCCAAGGGAGGCTGCTGCATTTCTTAGAAAATGTTGTCAAAGGGGTTATGCTGTCGATAGTTCAACATTTGATGTTACAATGACTTGTTTGATTAAGGGATTGGATCTTGAGGAGACTTGCCAGTTGTTAGATAAATTTACTGAACTGGGTACAAAGGTGGGGTTAAGAACGTATCTGCTTATTATTGAGGTATTGTTCAGCTCAGGACGAGAAGAAAAAGGTAATCAATACCTGAAGCAGATGCTCCATGATGGGCTTGTGAGGAATGTAAATTCATATAATATGCTGATTGACTGCTTCTGCAAGGCAAAAATGATTGGACTTGCTTCAGAAGCTTTTTCAAAGATGCATAACAGAGGTATTCGCCCTAATCTTGTTACTTTCAATACTCTCATTAATGCACACTACAAGGCTGGGAATATAGTAAAGGCACAAGAACTGCTTGTAATGTTCTTAGAGTATGGATTCAGACCTGATATCTACACTTTTAGTTCAGTGATTGATGGACTTTGTAGAGCACACCGAATTGAGGATGCTTTTGATTGTTTAACGGAAATGGTGGAGTGGGGAGTCACCCCAAATGCACACACATACAATATATTAATCCGCTGGTTATGTGTCACTGGAGATGTCTCTAAAGCTGTGAATCTGTTGAGACAAATGCAAATTGATGGGATAAGGCCTGACGTTTTCTCATTTAATGCTCTAATTCAACGTTTTTGCAGAAGTAATGAGATTGAGAAGGCACAAAGACTGCTTTTAAGCATGTTAGCATTGGATTTGAGTCCTGATAATTTTACATACACAGCTTTTATAAGGACCTTGTGTGAGTTAGGAAGATTTGATGAAGCAATAAGGTTGTTTCACTGTATGGAGGCTAATGGATGTGTCCCTGATGCATATACATGTAACTCATTTATTCAAATTTTGGTTAAGAAAGCTAAATTTCATGAAGCGCAAAACATCTATAATGACTACAGGGAGAGAGGTATGCCATTAAAGCCCATCAGTGTTTTCTAGTATGGTTTTAAACTGGTGTACTCCGCATTGTACTGATTCATGCGGTCTTCTGCTGTATGCAACATGCCTTGAGATGACATGAGGATAACATTCTGATCCAGGCTTCCAATAAATCAGGAATCATGTGGTTTAGTGCATTAATGGGGTGAGTTGTTTCTGTTACTGCCTTCGCCTTTCATTTTTTGAATTTCATCTTATTGTTGTTTAACAAAGTTATTTGCATTTATGAGCTCTTGGGTTATGGTTTTTGGGAGGCCTTTTCTAGCTTAAAACATCCAAAAGAGTGAACTCACAACCTTGTTGAATAATGTGGTGATAATTTTATCATTAGTTTCAAGTTCATTTTGTACCTCGAGGCACTGTTTTGTGTGTGTGTGAGAGAGAGAGAGAGAGCATGCATTTTGTAAATATTGAGATAATCTAAGGAGAAACTACTTCGAAGTTGACAGCCATTGTGGTTTAGTGCGTTTCTTTTCATTTTATTTTATGCAGAAAAGGGATTGGACAGAACAAATAGCTGATGAATCCTTTTATTGGTCTGATAGCAGGGAAAAAGGAAGCTAGGAAACAAGAGTTGATTCCTCGAATGTGGCTTATTTCCTGCTTCATTTATGAGAGCTTGTTCATATGATCTCCAAATCAAACAAGGACAGGTGATTTTGGCGAAGTACATAGTAAATGTCCATAGAAAGAAATGGCAGTTGCTTCCATCCTTTCCATGACTGTGCCAGGGAGTGTGGCAGGATTATCATTTGTAACACTTGAGCTGTACATCCTGGCATGATGCACAAATTGTCTTGAAGGCTTCAAGAAATATGTCGGAATACTCTTCTTCCAGTTAACTGTGGCTACTCCGGTTTTGCAACTAGCTCGCTGTACATGAACCCCCAAACAGGGCTATATTTTTACATTAGTAACCCACAGGACGAGGATCTCTTGCTGGGGGTCCCCACGTTGTAACAATTTTTCTTTGGTATAATGCAAATTATTATACAATGGAATAAAGTGAAAATACACTGAAAATGTTTTTTTCTTTAGATTTTTGTTGTGTTTCAAGTACATTTTTTGAATGCTAGTTGCTTGGATATTGTTGAAGACATGATAGCTAAGGTAACTCTCATTATTGGGCTTGTCTGTACCTTGTTAATTGCTTTTAGATTTGCACAATCTCATTTCTTGATCTTGATCGGCAATTGTTATCTGCTGCTTGTTGACATTTCTGAGTCTCTATGCAAGTACTTAACACAGACAGCAAACGTGCTACCTCCTACTTTTCTCAATGTTGAACGGTATTGTAATCCGGTAATTATCCTTGTGGGTTGTTAAATGGAAATTATGGTTTCTTATTAGCTTGGCACTCGTTCTTCTATGATTTTTAACAGCAATAGAAACGTGGAGCAAATTACATATTTTTGCTCATTTCAGCTTCACTTGATGCATTGCTTCCCTTTGAACAATTTTCTTGTTGGGCAAAAAACTTCAACGGTCACTAAATTACTGGTCGGATCATGTTTTGGCCATCAAACTATTTTTCGTCAATAATTGGTCATTAAACAACTTAATTAATAAACTCATGATCATTTGGTTGATAATTGCTCTAAATTTATGAAATTAGTAGTACGCGTGACAAAGCATGGGGGTAATTTTGTCCGGCGATTACACGACCCTATTTCACAGATTAACTGCTAATTTCACAGATTAAGAGTAATTATCGACCAAATAGTCACGGGTTTACTGATCATGTTGTTTAGTGGCCAATTGCTGACAAAAAATAATTTAATGGTCAAAATATGATCCGACCAACAGTTCAGTGGCAGCTGAGTTTTTCTTATTTAATGGCAGCAAAAAGTGCATTTGTAGACTTTGTTCTGCTCTTTCGTATCGGAACGGGGAGATTTTTTAATTTTACTTTACTTGAAGTGTACGTATGGGTAATGCCTTCAGGGTTTGCTTTCTGATGGCTAAAATTCTCGGTTGTGGTTTAGCCGTTCAACTGCCTCTTCTTTAGTCATCTCTGGCCAGCTTCCTTCATTCTTTATCCAAATCTGGAGAACAGATTACCTAGCACATTTACATTTTCCTCATTGTATTTGGTGCATTACGTTATAGCACATCAAAGTTATACCCTTCTATGTCAAGCTTGTTTGGTAGCACCTATAAAAGGTGAATATTTTAATAGCCCGCCACACAAATTTTAACCTTCTAGATCACTGCTTTCTGGTGCTAGCCAAATTTCTCTATAATTGTCAATTACGCAAGTCTTTACACCACCATTTTACATTTATACAAGCAAAAACCAGATTTCCAGCTCGTCTGTAAACGAGGGTTTTATATTTTCCCCCCATTTCCTTTTTTCACAAGCCATATATAATGCAGGCAGTTCTTGAACTTCTAACAAACAGTCGGTTGGTTTGAAATTTGCAAGTTGAAAATTTCCAATAAAGCTATATATTAAGCCCGCATGTGCATGCTTAGGCTATTATTAACATAAACGTGACTTTTCACTTGAAAAAAATACAGGTTTCTGCAATGGCCTTCTCATTTGCCTTGAGGCATTCGCGTTTAGCTCTGGCTGCGTTTTATATCCTTATTTCTCTTGGAAAATTTGGTTTGTGTTTGAAACCGTTGTCATGTTTCTTTGGCTTTTTCACAGCTTCTTATGATTCATTGCAACCTTTGCAGGCAAATCACAAGGGACTCCTTCAGAAACAGCTGCTGCAGGAGTACTTGCAAATGAATATTTGCCCGGACAAGTAGGTGCAAATCAAGGTTACCCCCAAGCAGGAAACGTGGATAAGGATCCGGATCATGTTGTCAATGAAGCCCTGCTTTGTTTCGATGAAAAGCAAGTAAAGTTGCCCATCAACTCATGTAGTAAAATCAAGATTTACATTTTCCTGCAAGAGGCATTTAGATTATCATGTATCAGGACATCCTAGCCTTTGAGAATTGAGATCATGCAACTCTTTAGCAGACTAACGTTATTGTCTGGTCGAACAAACTACAGATTTACAGCAGCTGCAGTGAAGCTTATAGATTGTCCTCGAGTGGAGACCTTAACGTGCCAGCAGAATACACAGACCAGTACTGCAATGGACCTTGTGTCTCTGAGACGCACCTTGTTCTTAACTGCATCGAAGGTGTACTCTTGCAGTTCAAGTTCTACAATCAGGCCACCATAAGTGATGTGAGAGAGACAATCAAATCCGGATGTAGCTATGGCTCTAAAAGAGGTAAATAGCTTGTCCGATTACGCGTTTTCTCGTTTAGTCTTCTCGCAGGGTGAGAATGAAATCCTGGCTCCTAAACGAAAAACAAGACCCTTGATCATTGACAAATGAGAACCGAGCTACATAACTTATCTATTCGAGTATTTTCTTCTAATTCATGAGAAAGTTCTGTTTTCCACAGGTGACTTTAATGTAGCTGAGCGGATCCAGGAGGAACATAGCAATGGGCACAGGACTAATTTCAGTCTTTTTCTTTCTGGCCTTGTTTTGATCATAATGACACGTCGTTTAATGCTCTGATGCATGGCTTTTTTTTTTTTTTTTTTCTTTTTCAAGGGCGAGCATATACAGTAGTGATTGTCTGGCGCGAATTGATCTGCATATTTGGCCATCTTGCTGTGGTCGAATTATGCCCGTGAAAATTATGTTGTCGTCTATATAAGCAATCCAACCATTTCAAATGTTTCGTCTGTTTTTGTACTGATAATTCCATGAGGAAAAATAAGGACTGTGAAATATGAATGTATATTGTGGGTCAAGCAAAGGTCAACTCGATTTCTATTGCACTGTTTGTCCAGCAAAAGCCTTAGCATATGTAAATTTGAAGGAAATTTTATATTTCGTACACAACTTGAAGGAGTTAAGATCAGTGTTTGGTTGTTCTTATGTTTTCCTCTTGTGAAAAAACAAGCTGACAATTTTAGTTGACAATGAATCTCGATCTAGTTGGTGTTGGTAATACGTTTAGTTCTTAACACGGAAGAAAGGTTGAACCGAAGATTCTATCTATTACTCTAATTGATTTGAGGTAATGCAATGATGGATAAGTGGGAAAAAAAAAAAAAACGAAAAACAGAGTAAGAGCAGATTAACTGATTGTTAAACCATCGGATTACCAATTTTATGCGTAGTTGTTTTCCCATTTCACCCAAGTAGAAGATGAGGTCAAAATCGTAAATTAAACAACAAAGAGCACGCGGCATTTCCCTCCTCAACACAACTCCCTCCTGGACGCGATCGAGTATAACCGCCACTCCCACCCTCAGAAACAGAGCGCGCAATGCCATCTCTGGTCTCTGCTTCGTCAAAATTTTTCGTTTCTCAACTCTGCAATGGATTCGTTCAAGAACTTGTTCTTCGATTTCTCAAGAAACTTCGGTCAATCACTGCCAAAATCCAGAACGAAAGGGCTTTTCACTCTGTTTTTAACTCTAGTTCTTGCCATCATCTTCTTCTCACCCCTATCCAACAAATCCCCTGCTGTAACTTCCAAAAATCTCCTTTCTCATCTTCACCCCGGCTCAAATTACATCTCTTCTTTATCCTCAATTGTTCCCGGTGAACCCCATTTCATTTCACAGCCTCCAAGAACTTGCACTGATGCTGTCACGTTTTCTGCTGTCAATAAGAGCAATGAAACTTCAAGAATGCATGAAACCGTGGCAACTCATGAAAACATCATCAGTTCTTGTGATATCTTTGATGGGAACTGGATTCTGGATGATTCTGAGCCGCTCTATAGACCAGGATCTTGTCCTTTCATTGATGATGCCTTCAATTGTTTCAAGAATGGCAGGCCCGATTCAGATTATCTTAGGCTCAGGTGGAAACCCCATGGCTGTGAGATTCCAAGGTTCTATTTTTTGTGCGTTTTCCCCCGTTTGTTTCTTTAGGACTGAGTTCAAAATGTTCGCGTTTTCATATAGGTTTCGTTTGATTTTGTGAGATTCTGGTTTCTTTTTTCTGTTCTGCTTTATGTTCAGGTTGGATGGATTGAAAATGCTGAAAATGTTGAGTGGAAAGAGACTGGTGTTTGTAGGGGACTCGCTGAACAGAAACATGTGGGAATCATTGGTCTGTGCTCTAAGAGGATCATTGGGCAATACCAGCAATGTGTATGAAGTTTCGGGTCGCCGCGAATTCAGGACAGAAGGATTTTATTCCTTCAAGTTCCAGGTTAAATCTCTCTCAATGGAAATAAGATTTTTGAAATTAGATTCAACAGAAATCTTTCTCGATGGTGTTAATTGTTGACTGATATGTTGGAGTACTATTCTTCGGTTGATGTAGGATTTTAATTTGTCAGTGGACTTCATTAAATCCCCATTCCTAGTTCAAGAATGGAAACTCACTACTAAGGCTGGAATGCGGAGAGAAACATTGAGATTGGACATGATTCAGGCTTCCTCGACCAAGTATCATGACGCTGATATCATTATCTTCAATACAGGCCACTGGTGGACTCACCACAAGACATCTAAAGGGTAAATAAAGCTTTAATCTTTTTGTGCTACTTGACAAGAGTGAAGTTCCAACCCTGAGAAACATTTTTGACGCACATATCATGGTTTTGCCACATTTACTTGAGTTCTTCAAAGAAAGCATTTTCCTGATCAAGTCTATGTTGTTAGTTCAGGAATAACTATTTCCAGGAAGGCAACCGCGTCTACAACACATTAGGAGTAACAGATGCATTTACTAAGGCCCTGAAGACATGGGCTCGTTGGGTCGATTCCAATATTAACAGCAGTCAAACAACGGTCTTTTTCCGCGGATACTCTGCTTCCCACTTCAAGTAATACTATCCCACCAAGCTATTTTCTGTGTGTGCAAAACTGTAATGTGTTTCTAGCATGAACTCTGAAGTTCAGAGTCCGAACCAGGTCTTTGGTTGGCCCGACAAATCGAGACTGGTTTTCTAGAATTTGATTCGGGGCTTGGCCTTTTCAATTAATTGTAGATTCTCTGTGCTGGCGTGCAAATTTTCGTAGCCTGATTTAGCATTGTTGTTCAATGGTTCAAATTGCGCAGAGGTGGTCAATGGAATTCAGGAGGAAGCTGTGAAGGCGAGACGGTACCAATAACAAGCGACACCTATCTTTCTCCACATCCATGGATGATGACCATCCTCGAATCGGTGATATCAGAGATGAAGACCCCAGTATTCCTCCTGAACATTACAAAAATGACAGACTACAGAAAGGATGGCCATCCTTCTATATTCAGCCAGCCAGAAGCAATTAGGAGGCCTGGGATGATACAAGACTGCAGCCACTGGTGCCTTCCTGGGATTCCAGATTCCTGGAATGAGCTTCTATATGTTTCTTTGCTCGCATCCCGCAATAAATTTTCGTAGTTTTCAGTTTAAAAGGAAAAAAAAAATTCTGTTGTTGTTGTTGTTGTTGTCCATTACATCCGTTGGCACTTTCTGCTGTCTACCAATTTGTAGATTCTGTTGTTGTTGTCCATTACATCCAGATGGAATAGGTCCTGTAAAAATGTTTTTGCACTTGATATCAGTTCAGGTATTGAATTCCACTAGTCCGTTTATCAATTCCATTGTCACTTTCTTACTTCGGGCAAACCTTTACATCTGCATGAATGTAAATCACAGAGAAAGGAACGTGGGATCTGTCTGGGTACTCAAAACTTTAACTGTTGTCTGATGTTCCTTCGAAATAGCTGTTATCTGTTAGGCTTTATTAGTCATTCAGCTTCCCCTAGATTTATAATCAAACAGCAGTTTAATTTGCCTCCGCTACTGAACAATCCTTAGATGTCTACTTTAATTTATCTACTGATACAACATTAGATGTCTTAACATATGATACATTAGTGCAAAGAAAGTATGTGTAACTCATATTTTGCATAGATATTAATTAACAGAGAACAGAAAACATATCCCTAACATTAGTTATATATTTTCAATTTAAGTAACTAGTAGCACCGTAATTTGAATGACGATAAGCGAAATTCTAATTTAAAAGCGTAAATAATATAAATGGAAAAAAGAAAGAAGAAAAACTTTTATATTTATTGTGAATTGTGAAAGAGGTCTAAATTTTGTATAAAACTAAAATTAGTGAGACAATTAATTTTTCTACATTTTATGAAAAAATAGTAAACCCTCTTAATGAGTTTGAAATTGTTATTTTTGGCTTAATTATTATAGCATCTCAATTAATTTTTTTTTTTTAAAAATGCAAATATCAAGTTATCGTTAATGGAGTGGAATGTTATTATCCAATTATGTATCGTGACCTTTGACTTGATCAGTTGACAACTCAATCGTGCAGTATTAGTTCATTTTTCCGACCACCACCCTTTGAAAAAAAAAAAAAAAAAAAAGAGAGAGTCCATATTACTCTGCAATTCGCTCCTGCCCCAATTAGAAGGTCCAGTTCGGAATTCGGGTCCTTCAAAATAAGCGGTATCCTTAGGGGAGAAGACACTCTGTCGACATTAAAAGCTTTACTGTCGTCCTCTTCTATAAAAACGACCCAGTTTTTGGTCAAACCTTTGCGTTCACTTCTCAACAGGCTCCACGTTCGGGAAAACTCGCCTAACATTTCCAACTGGGGAACGACGTCGCATTGCAGTAGGAGCAGAACATTTTCCCTTCCCCGGTGGTTCCCCATCGTCGTTGGATAATGAGGCGGCCGGCGAACAAATCGACGATTAATATCAGCGCCATGGCGCGCAAAGTTGACGTCGATAATCGAATTCCTCTCCGTAATTACTACCGAATTGCCGATAATCTCCTCAAACAGGTCATCCATTTCTCCTTGCCAATAAATATTTTTTTGCCCCCAATTTACGTGAAAATGATTTCCCCAAATCATTTATGTTATGATTGTATCATGTTATTTAAGGATTTGTAGTTGATTAGTTACTGTTTACGGTCATTTCAATTCTTAATCAGGGTTTATGAGTTTGTATGGGCGATTTTGATTAACTTAAAGTGATCACTTGCTTTGTACAAAATTGTCTGTTTATGATTTATGAAAATATTGGGTCTTTTATGGCAGGCTAACATTTATCGGGAGGAGAAGAATATTATCGACTTGTATATAATACTTCTTAGATATTCCAGGTACAGACAAAGAATAATGCTGCCACAAGAAAATATTTTGTAATACACTAATGCATTTTTTTTTAATTATTACTTCAACGAACTTTTTGTTGATTGTTTGGCAGTTTGGTTTCTGAGACTATACCGTTCCATCGCGATTACCAGGCTTTGTATCCTAAAGAAAGAACGTCTTTTAGAAAGGTTTGTCTGATGTTATTGCATTACTGTAGATACTGCATACTGGTGAGCCTTTGTGTGTAAAGGTGTGGCATATTGTTTGATGCTGGTTCTGTTGTAGAAATTATCAAGTGTGCTAGATGAGCTGGAGGCCTTAAAACCGGAAGCACAACGGCAGTTGCATGATAGAGGAAGAGTTGAGGTGAAAGATGAACCTTCTTTACATGATGGAGAGAAAAGGGCTCCATCTGCATCAGCATCCTTTCAAGAATGGCCAACTGCAAACAATAGAGCATCTTTAAGCTACGACAATCAAAGGGTACTGCTTCTGATTCTGTTCACTAGTTTTCAGTAGGATGGTTGTGCATATGTTTTTAGTGCTATTTTTCCGAAACCATCTCAAGTTTTTGTTTCTGGCTGGACTTTGACATCTCTCGTGTAGCACCTATCTGAGACCACATTTCAGTGGTTCGATGATATTCTCTAGGATTCACCAGGAGGCTTTTTCCTTGTACTAGCGGCTATATGTTCTTCTTCCATTTCATTCTTGGACTATGGTTTTTTTTTTTTCCTTTTTTTTTTAAAGTAAATGACTTCTTCTTCTTCTTTTCCTTTTGGCTTCCCCTCTACTTTTTATAGTCAGTTGGAAATGCATACTTCTTCTCATACGTATGTTTGTATATGTTTCTCGTATGTTAAGATTTCTTTTGGACAAATGTCTTTCATTTCATTGATTCTTTTCGTTGTTGGATTTTGTCCTTATATTTCTGCCATATGGACCTTCTTTATTTATGTTTTTCCCAACTACAGCAGGCTTGCACAGCTCAGTCTTCATGGAAAAGGAATGATAACTACAGTCTAGTTCCATCAACGAGTCCAATTGATAAGCATTTCCAGAAGCTGTGAGTATTCATGATTTAAGGTGTTTAATTGAATCTGTTAAAGGTGGGCATTTTTGGCTCATCCCTCTTATAATTCAGCTGAATATTAGTTATGTTCTCCCTCTTGTTAGTCTTGATATGTGTTGCTTTCTAGATGAACTATTGTCATTGGCTACAGGTAATAGTATTGTCTCTGGTCTGTATTTTGATGTGCAGCTTATCTGAACTTTAGAATATGTGCAAAATATTTCTTGAGGACAATAGTCGAATAAAGTAGCCCTGAGAGATTTATTGATCCCTGCCTTTGTCTTGGATGTCTCACATATTGAAGTTTGTGCCTTCTCATTTGACGTTTTCTGTTTTACTTCAAGTTTGCTTTTCAGCATAATAACAGCAATAGCCAAATTAAAGATGTTTGTACATGTTGATATTGAAGAATCACGGTCCATTTACATATATCTAACAATGGGTGATTCTCTGATAAACGTACAGAAATCTCAGTTTACCTCTTCCAAAGCAAGAAACATTGTCTAGACACTCCTTTTTAGGACCAAATGGTCTTCATGGTCAGTGGCTAGGATCTACCACTGAGATAAAGGTAAACTTCATCATGTAGTACCTTATTTGCGAAAACTTTTGGGCATGAATAAAGTAGTTGGTTTTTGTTGTATGCAGGTCAACTATCCAATTAACACAGATTTAGCTTCAAATGAAGTCTCAAGGTCAGGAACCTATATATTCCTGATTGTTCCGTGTTGGCCCTGCAAGTCTGCTGTATTTCTGTGAATACAAATTATTAATCATATGATTGTGCCTGAGGGTTTTTCTTTTTCTTTCCTGCTTAATCAATCATGGCATTGTTCTGTGTGATGTCTTTCTTCTGTCAGAACCTGTAACATTTCAAAATGTTTCTATGCATTGTTCTAGCCTGGATCAGGATGGAAAATATGAGATTGTCACATCAAGGGATGGTGATCTGGAAGTGGAAAAGTCTGCTATGGCATCTGTTCTCTCTCTAGATGATGGAAGATGGTCATCTCTTGACAAGGAGTCCGCTCGTCCATTTGATGACGAAGTGAGAGATATTTTTCCATTGGTTAGACAACCATCTCCACCTCCTGTCCTTGCTCAGGTGCAACCCGAGTATCTTCCCATATCTCCTTCAAAGGTTGCAGATCCAAGACCCGGACCTGCAAAATCCTTTTCAGATGGGACAGCCAGTTCTAACTCATATCAACATCTGCATATTGTGAGTCGTTTTCTCTTAATTTTCTATTAACAAACTCCCCTCCCCCACCTCCCCCCAACCCCCAGACAAAACCTCCCTACAGATTACTGGGGTAGTTATGTTACTATAAAGCGTTGTTTGATCTTTAATTAGTTACTGAGTTGCTTACATTTAGTTCACTAAGAATGGGATGCTTGTTTTGTTGCATTATGTTGCAGCCGGTGAAGATGATGGATGATTTCTTGAGATTGGCTCAAAAAAATACATCAAGAAATTTGGAAACATGTGGAGTTCTTGCAGGGACTTTGGTAGTTGTCTCTTCCTTTCTCGTCAACTATTATGTCTCAATGAGCCAAAAGTAAATGTTGTATTCTCCATGGTATCTAATTGCAGAAAAACAGGGTGTTCCACATAACAACACTTATCGTCCCAAAGCAGGAATCAACTTCGGATTCAGTAAGAGATGTCTCCATTTTCTGTAAAAAAAAACCATTTAAGGCTGTTTATAGCACTGTTTTGTCTCTACTATCCCTTTGCCCACTCTCCTGGTAAAGAAAAGATATAGAGGAAGAGGAACATGCAAGAAAATTTTGAAAAAGAAAATGTACAAAAAAGTTGCTGTGTCAGTCCTTTTTGTTTCAACTTGAATTGTGACTGTCATATGTTGCTGCTGACATCTTTACAAGCTAGATAGGGAACCTGACAAACTTGTAATGTTGAATCTTCTCTTGATATCTCAATGCATCTTAGGTTCAAAGTGTAACAGCGGGCATATGCATGGGTCTGTGTATGCATATTTTATTTTATGCTAATGTTTTAGATGGGTCAAATGTCAAGGACTTCTGTTTCCCATGATCAGAAACTATGATTATCAGTTCACTTATTACTGATGATCGATCTTATTGAATAAGTTTCTCTCATTTCAGTGTCAGACATTGAATGAAGAAGAAATCTTTGACGTTCAAGACAAGTGTTCTCTCTTCCCTCTTGGGTGGATTCATGTAAGTCTGGAAATAGCTCTAATGGGCATTATTTGTTAGCTGATCTATCGTGCTGTGCTCATTAACTAGGATCGGAAGTTCTTGACAACTTTGAAGAATTTTGGATCCCATCATCATTGATTTTGCTTATCTTCTGCATCACACTTTG